TTAACAGAATTTCAAAACAAGGCTGAATTCTCCTTCAAACTTTCAATGTGTTAAGGTCATAGCTTCAATTTAAAATGTAGAACATGTATATGCGACAACAAGTAGTTCAGATTTTCATTTATTAATTAAGAGACTTAGGAACAGTTCCAATGAATGACTAATTCTTGGCTTGGGATTTATTCTCTTAACAATGACAATATAAGCAATTTTCACTAAAATGATTATGAGGACCGAGTTGGGCTGGGGGAGACGTTTAGGGAGTAAAAATGATAGCTGCACAATCCTAGGACCAAGGGCAAGTCCTGAGCCGAGATAGAAAGTTGAGTGCAATGGCGTGCGTCTACAGTCTGAGCACTATTATGCTAGCTACTGTTTTACCAGCTTGACATGTGCTCAAGCCATCGGGGGCTCTCAACTGAGAAAATGCATCCAAGTTGGCTGTGGTCAGTGTTTTGTCACAGTAACACAGAATCAAAGCAAGGCAAGTTCTGTGGCAAAATCGGAAGAAGAGACAGGAGAATCACCCCTGAAACTTGAGGGTCAGCTACCCTGGAGTATGCAGAGCAGCAACAGCAGCATGAGAGACCCGTCTCCACAAGGTGGAGAGAAATGACTCCCCAAAGTTGTCCTTTGTCCGCCACTCACACATCATGGCACGTGGACCCACATCTCTGATCAGCAAATTAATTAACAAGAACAAGAACAAAGAGGTCTACTTTCTTGTTGGTATCCTGGCCTCAACTAAATAAGCACTTATACGTTCATTTAATGATTATCTTAATTAAGCAAATCAATACATCCCAGTCATGCCTCTTAGCTTTAATATGCTCAAATAAACATGTGAAAAATGTTGGACTTCCTTCTATACTCCCCAAATTAGTGTGATGATTATCAAGAGGACTACACATTTATTTAAATAAACTAACCAGTTATAATATATAATTTTATTAATTTATTTATTTATTGTGTGGGTATGCCCATGCCACCATGAGTGTGGTATGTAAATCATAAGATAATTTTCAAGAACTGGTTCTCTTCTTCTACCATGTAGGAGCAGGGGATTGAACTCAGGTTGCCAGGCTTGTGACAACTACTTTTACTCATTGACCCATCTTACCAGCTCAGAGATGACTTTATTTTTAAAATAAGCCTTTTCCTTCCTTAGCATTTGGGTTCTTATACATCCAAACTGTTTTGCAGCAATAACAATGATGACTAAAACAAGAAAAAATAATCCAGAGAGGGAGAAGTTACTGACTTACCAAACCCTTGCTAAGTCAGTACATTTTAAGCTGTATTCATTTTTTATTATTTTGCGATCATCATTAAGCCAGTCTTAATGTCAGTAGTTTGCATTCTTTTCAAGTAAATTAACAGGAAAATTAGTTTTTTCTTGATCACTTGAATTGTAAAGGCTCCCTGAACTTGATCTTATCTTTTCTTGAATTTGTTCTCTTTTAAGTCATTTAAGTTGACTTAAATATATATATTTCACCACAAGGTTACTGATTAAGATTATTTATCGAACCTGGCAGTTGATAGGCCCAAATTAAAGGGCTGCAACACTTAAAACATATACATCACTTAAAACATACATATCGAAATGATTTTATATTTATGGTTGTGAGCCTAGCCTTTAACGGCTGAGCCATCTCTCCAGCCCTCGAAATGATTTTAAACAGCACTAGGAAAATTACTAGGTCAACTTTGTTACCACTCAAACTAAGAATGTCCTAGCAGGTATGCTTGTGTGCAAGGTTTGACAACTCTGACTCACTTAACTGGAGGCTGGGTGCATAGGATCCGTCATCCCCCAACTCATTCATTAATTCATTATTAAAATCCTACTGAGCTCCAACAGTGCAGCACTGTCCTAGAAACCAGAGTTACAATGACATTCTGAAAACAGACGTGCAGCTTACGTTCAAAGTAGAGGAGAGAAAAGTGAATTCAGTATTAGATCCAAGTGTTATGGAGAAAAAATAGGAAAGGAGGCAGGGAGTTGAAGGTGTAGAGATATGCTGTTTTAACCAGGGTGGACAAAAAGGAGACATTTGGGTAAATGTAATAAAGACGAGGAAGTAGGCTCTTGTGGGGAACTAGTGGAAGAGTAACTGAGGGTGGGTACAGAGAAAAGTTTATTTGGTCTTTCAAGGAAATTGTCTAAATAAAGTAAGCAACAGGGATTACTACAGGAAACCAACAGTTAAGAAGTCAAGAGCATACATGGCCCATGTGCAGACTATGCGTCTGAACTTTGACTCAAAGAGATACAAAGACATACTTGAGAATTTTGAAGTAATCTGGGACACATTTAAAAAGAATTACTCTAAGATAGGATTGGTGGTACATGCCTATAATCCCAGTACTCAGGAGGCAGAAGACTATGCTGGTACACACGGCCAGCTGCCTACCTTGTGAGACCTTCCCATCTTTTCCTCCCCCTCCCACACACCAAAGAGCAAAAAACAAGTAAACAAAAATGATTAGCTGTCTACTGAAAACAGAAAGCAAACGGGCAAAGCAGGAACTGTTTATAACAGTACAGAGTTAATATTCATGGATGATGCCGGGATACTAACAAGTATGGCGAGAGTGGTTGAGACTCTAGACTTGGGGCAAACTGTTCCTTTACACTGGTGCTAAACTGGGACGTAATACTGTCATCCTTCAAGATCGGAACAGACAGAGCGAGAAAGAAAAATTCAGAATAGCTAAAGTTTCTCAAAGACAATTTTGTATCTCTCTGAGTCTACATAGTGAGAAGACCCCATTACAAAAAACAAAAGAATCAAAGAGTTGTTGAAGTCAGGTAGAGGACAAACATTAGCAATTACAGCATTCAGGAAGCTGGGAAGAGGACTAGGAATTTAAGGCCAGCTTGATCCATACAAGAGGACTCTGATTTAAAAGTTATTGAGAAGAGGACAGTCTGACAGTTTCAGGATGGGAGACTTTTCATACTCTATATTCGTGTGTGTCATTTGAAGGACGATAACCAATGGTGCGGGCTGACTTACATTTTGGACCGTATCTCTATCCTTCACATTGTAAAACTGGAATTTTACTTATGTGGTTTTTGCACTGTTGATAACTAATGAAGGATTTAAAATATAGCAAGAGTTTGATCATGACTCATCAGTTTTTTATTATGAATTTTGTTTGCATTTATGTATCTGGTTCTGGCAAAACAGATGTTCAAGTATGAACATAGGAAGAAAAAGTTAAATGTTGTTGATCTACTTAAATTTTTAAAAATATTTATTCAGTGTGTATGTATGTGAGTGCATGCTGTGGAGTGGACATCAGAGGACAACCTGGGAGAGTCTGTTCTCTTCTATTATATGGGGTCTGGGGATCCAACTTAGGTGACCATGTTTGGTAGGAAAGTGCCCACCGACCCATCTTGTCAGTTCCACTTGATTTTTTTTTTTAACTTGTAAAACGTTCAATTATCAATAAGGTTTCAGAAGTCTTCTGAGAAAAGGTGAAAAAGTGGGTAAGAAGATGGAACTGGCAAGAAGAGTGGAAGACACTAGAGGCTAAGAGTTTGAACTGAAGGGTTCCTCACCGAGGGAAGTGGAAGGCTTGCAAAGAGCCCCAGCAGGGGAGGAAGAAATGGAGACTATCAGTTCTGAAGGTCATGTAGGGGAGGGACGTGGTGCAGTAGTTAAGAGTAACACTTATGAGTCGGCCTGGCCTTCTGACACAAGTCTGCATCTTCAGCCCTGAAAAGACAATGAGAACCAACCCAAAACAACAAGGTTGGCACCCAAGTCAGTGTGAAAATGACTTAGCAATGATTAACTCTTAAATACAAAATAAACATCTGTTGTTACTCTGTAGAAATGTATGCAGCTAAGAGCTAAAATGACAGACCTTAGTGACACATCCTTCAGAAGTAGAGTAAACTGAGTGTAGGAGATACAGATTCCCTATCAAAGCTGGATCGACATCATCATTAGCCTTTCTGGGCTCTAATGTGATTAGAATTGATCTATTCCCTCCATACACATTTAAAACAGGAGGTGAGCAAGGTCCATTGATTGCATCGTTCTATGCTGCAAATAACTGAAACGTCTTCTAAATTACTTGTACTTTCTTATTATTTTTTTTAAAAAAGTACTTTTTTGAGAAAGGGTTTTGCAGGCCTCAAAACTTGAGATCTTTGTGCCTAGGACTCTTAGGAGCTAGAATTATAGGCCACACTACAATGCCTGAGTTATTTTTTAAATATACAAAAGACCCAATAAAATGGCATATTTAAAGTCCTGGGAGGTGTATACTTATTGTCTTAGACTAGCATTATTTTACCACTAGTAAAAATCACCATCAAGAATATCAGGCCAGGTTTCACATGCACAACTGTATAAAATGTGTAAGTGCACATCTATTTTCATTTAAACATACACGAATTCATATGCAAAATTTCCATGTTATATTATGTATCTCTTGAAAGTTAATCTTTATTTAGTAAGTAAATAAAGTAAAGATACTAGCATGGGCTCGAAACCGCGGCTGGTGTCCCTCCTGATGGATTCTTTAGTCTATGCCTGACATTTAGAGCACCGCTTTGCATGGCAAGTGGTTAGTAGGCTGTGACAACCAAGTTTAAGGAACAAAAAACGTTCTAGCGTGGCAGCACACACTTTTTTCTTTTATTTTTCATTTTATGTGCATTGGTGTTTCGCCTGAATGTATGTCTATGTGCAGGTGTTGGATCCCCAGGAATTGGGAGTTACAGTTGTGAGTTGCCATGTAGGTGCTGGAAATTGAACTCTGGTTCCCTAGAAGTTTTAATCCAAACACTTGGGAGGCAGAGACAGGTGGCTCTCACAGTTTGAGGCCAACTTGGTCTACAGATTGAGTTTCAGGAGAAAATCTGTGTCAAACAAACAAAAGCAGCCATTCTTTCAAGAAGACTAGTGATGGCTATAATTGGTATAATTGGTATACTGTCCAAAGTCTCGGCAGAGATTAATTACATTAAGGATACTTACGTCAGCATAGTGGCCTGTCATATCACATCGGCCACATCGCTTTCTCCAGGGAGATTTTTCAAGACATCTGTGCATGGAAGGCACGGGCAAAGAGCAGTCTGAACAGAAACGGGCTGGACAGGCATGCTGGAAGTGTCCTCTCTCCGAGCAGAGGCAACAAGGCCGGACTTTCTATGTGGCAGACAAACACAAACTTTCTTTAGTATCAGTTTCAAATGGTAGAACATTGGTTACTCCTTTCCTATATAATCCCATTTCTAACTCAAAATCCAGTGAAGGTCCAACCTTGAGCAGAATTGTAAATCAGACAAATGTCTGGACTCAGAGCTTGAACACAGCTATCAGTATGTTGCTGCCCCAAAGTCTTAGGTCTGGATATATGCCCAGCTGGCACCTACTTAGCATATCTATCTTACAGAGGAATAGTCATAGAGCAGAAATATCTCGGAAAACAGAATGAGGACATCTGGAAACTAAGCCATGGGAGGAACAGAGAAAGAAGCAGAAGTAAGCCTGCAAAGACTTGTTTAGGAAAGGTACTAGGTAAGGAAGGAACGTGTGACCGGGTTACTACTACATGCCACAACATCCAAGAGTTCCAGTTCTGTGGTGCTCCAAAGGTAGATGCACTTGCTTTGCATAATTTGCGTTAGTACAAACTTACAAAAGAAAACAGTGAGAATTATCCCACAATGAAATATGTTGCTTAAAGAGGAGATGGCTTTGAAAGGAAAGGGAATCACTGTGCTTAGTCTTCTAGGCACACCTCATAATAGGGAAGCTGAAAGAGATCCCAGGGTTTCCAGATGCTGCACTTACTGCTCACCCCTGTGCCAGGTTCATGAGCCACCTGTAATCCAACACACTTGAACAAGAGCTGAGTCTAAGTCAAAGGTTTCTAAGCCAAACAGTCCCATCTTAACAAGAAAGAAGCATCATGCATTTCACGTACTTGTGGTAAGGGGCAGTTTTTTGACAAATGGCCACGTTTATCACAATTTCTACATGTGACATTTTTGTCAGCTGAATAGTATCGGTTGGTCCATCTTCCAGATGATCTGCTATTGCCTATCTTGGCCTAAGAGTAGGAGGAAAAAAAAATCAAGAATTAAAATTACTTCAGTCAGTTTAAGGAAACCTACCTATTCTTCCTCTTAAAACTATTAACAAGTAAGAATTGTATTTTAGGTCAGTTCGATTACTTTGGTAAGACACAAGAATTGACAGACACCTGTGTCCAACCAAACTCCTGGATGTGGACTCAACCTTGTAAAGGTGGGGACAAGGATAGTCCTATTTCTTTTACACTTGCCCACACGACTCCCTCCCATTTATTATTCTCCACTTAGGGGGTCAGGTCTAGCAGGAATACTGCTATGCTTCACTTAGTTGTTGCTAACTTCTATATCTAAATATATATCATTTATTGATGAATGAGAGACTTGCTTAAAATTTTAGGTAGGGAATGGTATTTTTATGATTTTGTGCTTTAAAACATTAAAAAACAAAAACTACCAACTTTTATAACTTTTCTTTTAAAAAGCTGAGGGCTACTTCTTTTGCCTATAAAACTAATCATACTTTCTAAGAGTATGAGATAATATTTTTCCACTATAGTCCTTGTACATTCTGCTACAGTGACCCAATTCTAGCTGTCTTATATTCTAGTTAAATTCTATTATCTATGAAAGAACACGAGCATAACACATCATATGGAATACCTAAAAAGAGGAATATGCAAATCCCAACCATGCACTTATTTTGTTTGGCAGAATTCTATCTTTAAAGCCAGGCATGGTGGTTCATGACTATAATCCCAACACTTGGGAGGCCGGGGCAGGAGGATCTCGAGTTTGAGGCTAGCCTAGGCTATGTAGGAAACCCTGTCTCAAAAAAAGAAAAATACATACATAAGTAAATTCCATTTTTGAAAAAGCTTCAGTTTTTACCTGTTATTCTCTTGAACTGGTTGACAGTTGTCTCCAATCTACAGATATCTTAAAACTTGACATCAAGTTGAAAACAACTTTTTAAAAGTTTATTTTTAAGTATTTGCTACAATAAGGCTAATAATTGACACAAGCACCTGCCACATTCTAAATATAGCCTGACCATTTCCTTATACTGAAGAAACAGTTATTTCCGCTGTTGAGTTTAGTAGTAGCAGCCATAGGGGCTAAAACGAATTATCATGGCAAAGAAGAAACAAGCAGAAGGATGTATCAAAGAATTATTATAGCTACCCATCAGCTAACAAAAATCAAAGCTGAGTTAAATTTCTGGCAAGTTAAATCGTACTAAATCATACACATACTAAAATAATCACACTTTCTCTTCTAAGTTATTGGGACCATGTTTTTTTTTAAAAGCTTATTACTTTTCCAAAAATTATTGTATTAAAACAAATGGAAAGCTATGGATCAAAGGACAATATTAAACTATTGTTCAGAATTTTTAAAAAACTGGTTTTACCTCGATGTCTTTGTCAATGATGAACCAGTTTGCATCACTTTCTCCTATAAAACAAACAAACAAAAAAATGTTACTTACTCTTAGTGCCTAAAACCATACAGACACATAACGGTTCTTCAACTTCTTAGTGCTCAAACTGGAACTTAAAGGTACAACGGAAAAATGCTAAATATCTTACATTCTTATGCAAGTCTAAAATGTTAATTTGCAGACTTATTTTATTTTTTAAAAATTGTATGTCTGTGCATGAGTGTGGGTACCCACGGAGGCCAGAAGAGGGTGTCAGATCATCTTGGACCAGGAGTTATAGGTGGTTATGAGCCTCCCCATATGGGTTCTGGGAAATGAACTCTGGTCCTCTGCAAGGGCAACACATGCTCGTAACTGCTGAGCCGTCTCTCTAGTCATAAAGTGTTACATTATTATTTTTGTGGTGACAGGGATTGAACTCAGGACTTTGTGCCTGCCACACGAGCATTCTACCACTAGAGACACATGTGAGCTTTCACAAGTCAGGTTTTTGTGTGTCTTTTTGTGCACCAGCACATGTGAGGAGACATCCATAGGGGAGAAGAGGATGTTGGGTGCACTATTCTCCAGCACTCCACCTTACTCACATGAGACAGTGGCTCTCACTGAACCTGGAGCTTGTGTCTTTTAACTAGTCTGGCAGCAAACTCTGTCACTGCTTACTAGAATGCTGAGGTGATGGGTACATGTGTGCTCATGCCCACTTTACACACGGGTGCTGAGGATATGCACTCAGCACTCTCACCCAGCTGAGCCATCTACTCTGCAGTTTACTTAACAGCTGTGTGACTCTCATTAGTTGACCACTCTATGCCTCATCCATAGTTTCTGTCTGTGAAATGGGATAATAGTATTTATAGTATTTGCTCTCCCTACCCACAATCTTCTGTAGGATCAAATGAGACCTGTAGAAAAATGCTTTGTATATCAAGCTCTATACAAATACAAAAGATAGGCAAAGGGCCCAAATACCCAACAGCAGATGCTGGAAGAAACTCATTTCAATTTCTTTACCTGACCATGCAGAGCTTTAACTAGAGATGTGTCTCAATGAACCTACCACCCTTTTTAGGTTTCGAGACCCCCAAACACTAGGATATTGTAAAAACTTTTTTTTGTGAACAAACCCCAGAATCTTGTCTTAACCTTTTAGACTTGGCTTTCTGTTAGTTGGTATATAAACTCTGGCCACTATCTCCATCTATACTATTGTAAACAAACACCTTCACTTGTTTCTCCATCTTGCTGGCCTCCACTTTAACATTTTAAAAACACTAGACCTTGAAAACTAGTTCACTTCGTAGGTTAGGAATTTTGCACGTCATTTACAATATAAAAAACAATGACATAAAGGAGAAAAACATGAGGTCAAATATCGAGAAACTTCTGGGTGGGATAATCTATGCAGAAGGCAGAAGAAGGAGGATTGTTGCAACACATCCTGCATAAATGAGCTTAGGCTAGCCACAGCCACACAGTAAAACTCTATCTCAAAACAAAAACCAAAAATAAAACACAAACTTCCAAATATCCATAAACCACTAAGCATTAACCTAAAAGTACAGCTGTAAGACTGGAGGAGGACAGGATTTTCCTGTGTCAGCTACTTTCTTTTCTTTGCATTGGCCTTTTACAAACTTGCAAATGCTTCCCATTCCTTTAGTCCCTCTCCGGACAAGGAAGGGACCTATGACTAATGCAGAAGCTAAGGAGGTGTCAACAAAGGACTAAAAGCCAAGTTATGATTTCCTCCTCCATCCAACCTTACTACTTTCACCTATCTTAAAAACACAAATCAAGCTTGACTCGCTTCTCTGAAAAGGATTTTGAAGAGAAATGCAGTAATCTACATGTTTTCAGGCCTACCAGGGGCAAGTGTCTAGGAACATATTTTAAAATAAAATACCTGTACTAAGAAAATCATGAGGCTGCTTTACAAAAAGACCAATCCATAGGAAAGCAGAGATGCTGTACTGCTGCTGATTTTCTTTGTGGAGTTTGGAGGCTGCATACATGTACTGAGAGTGAGAATATATTAAATAGCGGTGGCTTCATTCCTTCATCCCACCATATTATTATTCTTTCATTCGAAAGACACAGGTAAGGAACAGGTGGACTGCAATTTTCAGAGCTGCTCTGTGTATCACCAACATTTATCATTAAAATTTAATGACTCCCTGTAATTACTTGATTATAAAACTCGTTTAATTTTTTTTCTTTTGGGTGTGAATGCATGTGTATAGGCATCATCTTGTGTCTTTAACAGCTTTCCTCAGTACTTCTTTAAACACCAGGTTTCCCACTGAACCGAGGGCCCCCAATTTGACTAGAGTAGTCCACCATGGAGACGCTGGGGTCTGCCCATCTCCATTCCCCAGTGCAGGGACTGAGATGTATGTTGTACCCAGGTTCTCGCATGGGTCCTTATGCTTGGACAGCAAGACCTCTGCTGACTAAACCATTCTCCCAACTCCACAAAGTTGATTTAATTTTGTTCTTAAAAAATGCAAGGCTGGGGATAGTGGGGAATGCCATTAATCCTAGCACTTGGAAAGCAAAAGCTGGCAGATCTTTGTGAATTTCAGGGCAGCCACGGCTACATTTCAAGCCTCAAACAAAACAACAACAACAAAAACAACAAAAAATGAAATGCAAGGATATATATATATATATATACACACACACACACATATATATATACATATATATATATACATATACATACACACACACACACACCCTTGACTTTCATTTTTTTCAAGACTGTTTTGGCTATCCTAGGCCCTTTATTCTGGGTATAAATTTTAGAATAAACATGCAAATTTCTATAAAACATTTGCTGGGATTTTGATTGACACTGTGTTGAATCTACAGAACAGGTCATATCAAGGGTCCTTATAAATGAATAGATCTCTTAGTTTACTTTAAGTTTTCATGGTAAAGTTTTTCCAATTTTTGATTATAAGTTTATAAAATATAACTGACTTTATACATTCATATTACATTGTGTAAATCTGATGCAATCACTTAAGTTTTAAAAGTTTGTGTTGTATGCTTCTGCCAATTTTCAACATATACATCCCACCACCTGTAAGTAAAGATAGTTTTACCTCCTTCTTTAAATTTTTATTCATTTATATACACATGCATGCACACACATCTCTATGTAAAGGTCAGAGGTCAACTTGTGAAAGTTGGTTATCTCCTTCCATCATGTGGGCCCAGGTTGTGGATGTAGCTCCACATGTAGCCCAGGATGACTTCCACACTACCCCTCTTTGTTCATTCCTATCAAGCTCAAATCTTACCTCTATAACCTACCTGTTCTGATTATCCTTGTGTCTGAGGTCCTCAAAGTCAATATAAATAGATAGATATTTAATGCCTTTTCTTACTTTTCTTTGATGACTCACTTTTCTTGTTCTGGTCTCATCTTCCTTTGTGGTCTCTTCCCCCAATTCAGTATCTTGTCTGCTCTATGTTTGCCTTCTTTCTCCCAATCTGCCCATAATGGAAACTAGCAAATCTGTCCTTCCAAGATAGGTTGTTTCTTTAGTTCCTTATGCAATCTAAATCTCTATGGGTATATCTCTATAGGTAACTCAAGTTCCTAACACTCAAAGTTCTTTCTTCCTCACTACTGATGACTCTGCGGTGGAGTGCTTGCCAAGGTACTCAGCACCAGGCTTAATGAACTTCAGTACTGTAAACGAATTAAAAAAATAATCAGACATATAAAACTACAGTTTTCGTTTTCTCCTGATATCATCAACCCCAACAACTTGTGCCATAGTCTGTTTTCCAGGTAGAAACCCTTAAATCTTATCTCTTAGCTGGCATAAGACTGCTCATCAGATCCTAAGTTGTCTGTCTCAAATAGCTTTAATGCTATTACTTTAGCTCTAGACCACTGAATTTCTGACATACATTATTAAAATAATTTCACTTCATTCTCTCAAATTCCATCCTATTCCACTGTTATTGGACTAAAACAGAAATGTGAACACATTCTTCCTGGAAGGTCCCTTGCTGCCATGGCAAGTGGTAGAACACAGCATCACACAACACTGCCCAGGATTTAGTTCTTCCTTTTTCTGGCCCCATTGCTTTAGTTATACTCATTAATTTCCCTATCCTATGATACTCTGCAGGTATGCTTACACATGTATTCTCCAGAATATCTGAAGACACCCCACATTTGGGTATCTAGTATTTGGATCAATAACTGCCATCTGTTACTGATCCAATTAGAGAAGATCACTCACAACTGTGTAACATTCTGGACTTAAACTGTGGTGTTTCTCTTTGTAGCTTCCAAACATCAAAGGATGACTGCCGAGTTATCAGTGGTACTGATGTTCAGGGGCTGGTGAGATGACTCAGTGGTTTAGAGGATGTGTTACTCTTCTGGATCCCTGGGCATCTGCACTCACATATGCACATACTCACATTTACACATAACTAAAGTAAAAAATAAGTCTTTAAAAAAATTAGTCAGTATGTAAACTAAGTAACATTTCTACCTCCACTGATTTCCCTTTAGTCTTTTCTCCTTCAATGGCAGTATAAAAGCACATTACCTGCATCTTTTAGGTTACTGGGCATTTAATAGCCCTGTATTAAGAGTTACAGTAATAAGTAATTTATCCCTTTCTATGTCAAAGCTGTATATGGACTACGACTACCTCTGTTTTTATCTACATATCTGTTGACCATCTTGCAAAATTGAAAGTAGAAACAAAAAGAAATCACATTTAAATATATGTAGTCTTGTATGAAAAGCACTATTCTGAACTGGGACACATAAGCTATTATATAATTTAACTGGCTGTTGATGTATAGTAAATGTTTAGCAAGACAGTATTATTATGGTTAAGGAGGAACTTTAAGAACCTAAAAAAAATTGAAATCACTATTATTGAATAATGAATACCCTGACAGGCCTAGGATCTACATAAAATGTAAGATAATGGTGCATTTATAGATAATTGCTATAATTTATTTGTCATATCCT